GAATTCAGAAACAGTTGTGTTTCTGGAGTTTAACACTTTCTGTTTGTCTCTAGGTGAATGTTATCCACACAGCCAGCCCAGTGGAACATGCCAATCACATTGCTGCACAGCCTCAGTTCATTCACCCAGTGCATCATTCCTTTGTTGATCTCTCCGGTCACAACTTGGCAAACCCTCATCCCTTTTCAGGTCAGGATTCTCAGCTGCTGAAGCTGAGCTGGCTTTTTGTGGTGTTGCAGAGTTCTTTTCCCAGAGTTCAAACCAGGGTGTTGGACTAATAAATCAGGCAGCTGCTCAGTCCTGTTCTGTTGCCCAGACAGAGAGGAGTGAGATTTCAGAACCCTGTGAAATTCCCTTTCCTGCCAGCAGAAGAGATTTCTGTTGGGGTGTGTGTGTTGGAAAAGGGGAGGAGACTGCAAGACCTGCAGAAAGTGAGAACTAGGACAGAATTTCTTCTGAATGGCAGGAGGAAAAGATGGCAGTGCCATTCCTTTGATGAGTCACAGTATCTGCCCTTTCTGTTTTAATTACATTAATTTGGCATGGGTGTAGGATGTGAGGAGAAGAAAAATAAGCAATTGAGAAAGGAGTGTGGATGTGGTGGAATGTGCTTTCCTTGTGTTTTCAGTCCTTCAGATTGATGTAATTATATTTAAGGAACTGAGTCTAGTTGTTAATTTCTTACTGACTTTTTACATGGCTGAAGACAAACAGCCTTTGTGTAATACATATGAAATGTAACTTAACATGGAATACTTGTGTAAAGCCATTTTCCCCAGCAGGTGATGATGGGAAGGGGAGTAGCTGTTAGCACAGTGTGAGTTACCACTGCTGTGTGTTCTGGCTGCAGTTGTCCCCAGCACAGCCACGGTGGTGATCGTGGTGTGTGTCAGCTTCCTGGTGTTCATGATCATCCTGGGCGTGTTCCGCATCCGCGCCGCGCACCAGAGAACCATGAGGGACCAGGACACGGGCAAGGAGAACGAGATGGACTGGGATGACTCTGCTCTGACCATCACTGTGAACCCCATGGAGGTAACCCTGGGGAGCTGCTGGCCTTTTCCAGCTGGAATGGCTGTGGTTGGCCACGGGCAGAGGAGAACCTGAGAACAGGGCAGAGACATTACCTGGGGATGTAGAACGAATGTGCCAAATGCCAAGAACGCTTGTTTGGGATCTTGCAGGGGTTAGAGTTTCATGTTGGAGAATGGGATTTTACATCCAGCATCCAGCACTAGTGTTCATCATGTGCACAGTGCCTTAAACAGAGCCTGCTTTTGTCTAAACTTGCAGGAATTTATTGCCAAAACATCTGTGTTTATGATGTTTCCTTCTCCTGTGGCTGACATCTGAATTTTTAGAAAATTTGGAACAGGAAAGATGTGTGTACTTCATGCTCTTTGTCTATTGTAAGATCCTTTTCCAGTAGAATTTGCAATCCTGGATCCTCCTTCACAGCCACTTTGTGTAGAGTGCCAGGATTGACAGCAATGTCACAGAACTCTTTTACAAAGTGCTACTTCCTTTGTCTTTTCTGTTTCTGCCTAATTCCTGCTGAACTTCTAAATCCAGCAAGGAATCTGCAATAGCTCTTCCTCAGTATAGTGACTTGAATAAAGAATAAAAAGAATTTTGGCCAGTATGGTAATGACAGCTAATTTTTGTCTGAACAGACCTATGAGGATCAACACAGCAGTGAAGAGGAGGAGGAGGAGGAGGAAGAAGAAAGTGAAGATGGAGAAGAAGATGACATCACCAGTGCAGAGTCTGAAAGCAGTGAGGAGGAAGAGGGAGAGCAGGAGGACCAACAGAATGTTAACAGACAGCAGCAGCTGGAATGGGATGACTCTACCCTCAGTTATTGATTCTAGCTGCTCCCTTTGTCTTTATGTTCCCGCTCTAGAAGACTCCACTGTAACACACTCCATTGGTACCAAGGATTCATGGTGTTTAAAACAAAAAAAATCATTCTGGCCAGTAGATTGAACCCCCCCACGAGCCGTGTTTGTGTTCTGTCAGCTAGTTCCCGATGTTTAGGGTTGTAGTTAGCACCTCTTCCTTCAGCCATGCCTCAGTGACTGGATTTTTTTACGCTCTGTGAGAACCACCTTGCACTTTTTTCTTCATGTCATCTCAGCTAAGTGACTCTACAGCTCTGTAGCCGTTGCACATTATTTTCTGAACTGTCTTTTTTTGCTCAGTGAAACAAACTTGGCTTTGTTCCTTTTTCTCTTTCTAAAAGATGCAAAGATTGCTTGTTGACAAAGGGTAAAGCTGCTCATTTCAGCCTGTTGATTTCTTTTAATTTTTTTCCCCAAATTAGTGCATGTGTAAAGTGGCAGAATGAGGTTAATATGTAGAAGATTAACAAGACTTTTTAATATTTTGTAAATATATTGGAATTATGTAATTATGTCATTTGTGGTAGTGAAAACAGGGATTGGGGTTTAAAACATGCTAAAGTGAAAAATCATGCGGCATGAACTATTCCAAGTCTCATCCTACTGCAGCAGGAGCACGGGCACAGTTCTTAGTGTAGATGTTCAGTAACTCTGTCTTGGCCTTGACTGCGATGTGCGCTCATGCCCCGCTCTCTTTGAACTCCTTCCTTTTCTTTCACCTCCTTGTTTTTGCAGAGGGAACAGACAAAGCTTGTGAGAAGTTGTAAAGGCTTTAGGAGCCTCTGCAGAGGCTCAGCTCCCTCGTGCACTACAGTTTGGTTTTAATTTTATTTTTTTTTCTCCAATTAAGGCTTGCCATAGAGGCTTTTTTAAGTTATTGGGGAAATAACACTACATGTATGGTGGGGTGTGGCCACAGCTCCTGGTAGTTCCAGGGAGGGTGCCTGGAGTCCAGTGTGGGCTGTGCACACTGCAGACAGGTTTGGGTGTAGGGGAAGTCTGACACCTGGGGACCTGAGCACCTGGGCTACCCTTCTACATGAACAGGGATTTGGGGTTTTTTGTTGTTCATTTCTTCTAATTTGGGAGGGTTTGGGATGTAGCTGATACCACTGAACACTCCTGCTCCTCCCCTGCAGTCCTTTGTACAGTAATTCCGATTGTCGGTGTTTTAAGCCTTTGTTTACACTTAGTAATTGTGTTTTCCTGCTGGTGAAAAACTGTAGCATAAATTATCCAACCAGAAAACCTTGGGAATCATGTTAATTCATGTGATTTGGGTTGTTTCTGATCCCAGTTCCAATTTGGGATTGCAGAGGGCAGTAGCTGGAAGGTACAAATATGGGGGGTTGTTTTTTCTCTCAGGCAGGGTTGTTTAACTTCGTTTGGTCTGATGCAGAGTGGTGGATAATGAATTTCTGCTTGATCTCTATGGAGGTGGACTAAAGAGTAACTTGTTCTGCCTGTAGCAGGAGCCTGGGGCTGCATTCCCTCCTGAGCACGGTAAGCCAGCGCCAGCGTTTGCTCGTGGGTGTGGGTGCAGAGCCCAGAGAGCCACGGCCAGAGAGGGGCACGAAGGGTCCCGAGTACCTGGGGGATAAAAGATGGGGGTTGAGCCACCTGTTTGTACATCTGGATTTCCAGAGCAGCCCCGCTGAGGGAACTGAAACATCCCTGCTCAGCTGGACTCCCAAACACAGCACGGGAATGTAGATCCTGCCGGGATCGAGGGGGGTTTGCTCTGGGGGAACTGAGGAGTGCCTTTACAATAGAGATGGACCTGGCAGCAGGGAAAGAACCCACACCAGAGCTTACTGTTTTTTGGGGTTGTTTTTGGGTTTTTTTTAATGTAAATTTTAGATTTCTAAAATGGGGAAATGGTTTTGACTACTTACGTGGTAATTAACTGCTAGTTTTAAGTAAACTGGGAAACTTTTAACTTATGTCTGACAGTTGTCCTGTGTTAATGTGTAGAAGACTTATCCTTCCATATACTGTTGCTGTAGCTGCTGTATTTTAGACCAAAACTGATCATGACTTAATGGTAATTCTGAGGGGTTGTAATGTCCTGATGCAGTTTGTAGCCACTGTGGGTATAACTTTTCAGATGTGTATATTGGTAACAGGTCAGTTTGGAAAGTCTATAAGCTACAATAAATTTCTGGTTCTAAAAGTTGTTTGCATTTTTTATTTTACTTAGTGAAACAAAGTAGAACCCAGTTATATAAATGGTGTTAATTTGCCTCTGCTGGGGGAGTTTTGTGGCTATTGCTCTCAAGCACAGAAGGACGAGGCAGCATTTGTGTATAATTTGTCCATATCTTTTATTTCTTATTTACAAAACATGTACCTAAAGCAACTGAAAAGCTAAACATGTAAACATTCTCTTCTTGCAGAACCACGGTTTGGCTTAAAAAAATACTTCTTTTTTCAAAGGCAACAGAATAAGCACAATCAGTTTGTACAGAGTTTAAAAAAAAATAATGACAGAAACATCTCTAAATAAATAGAAATAGGTCTATCATTCTGGGCATATTTATAAAAATGAGAAGCCACTTGTAATGAAATGGAACATTTTTGAAAATTATTTAAGTTTCAATCTTTAGTACAGTTCAGCTTGCTGAAAACCATCAGGTGAGCTGCTGCTTTGTGAATTTGGAGTCAAAGGCTCTTTGCTGACCCAACAGAGCTGTCAGAGATTTATCCAAGATACTCTCCCAGGGTGTACAAGGAAGAAGGTCCACATGATGACTCACTGAACTTTTACTGCTTGTAGGTAAGTCAAGTTTTCCAGACTAGGTAACCTCTGTAAAACTGTGCTCAGTTCTTGCACTTGATACTGATACACCTTTGTGTTATTGCACTTCCAAAGTGACGGACAAGAACCACTGCTCTAAAACTGGTGAGGGCCTGACCTTTCTGTGAGCTGGGAGGAGAGCAGGGTCCCAGTGCTGCAGCACCCTGAACACCAGGCTCTGGCACTGCAAGAGAATTGCTTTTCCAGCTCTGGAACTGTAGTGTCTTCCCTTCCACAAGAACCTGATTGGGGGTGTGGTTTCAGTGCATCTCACCTTGCACAGGGCCCAAGATTTTTTTTGCATACTTTTTGCTCTGTACATTAGTTTAATAAGCAAGGAAATAGCAATATTTACTCTCTAAAATGGAGCAGAGGCACAGGACTGTTTCTCACTGAACAGCCTGCATAGAGCTCTAAATCCTGCAGCATTTCCCTCTAGTACCAAAGCAGCTGTCAGAGCCGGAGTGCTTCAGTCACAGTATTGTCTGAAGGTGTAGGGAAAAGGGTCTCCCAGGGTTAGATTAAATTAAAATGAGGTGTCTTCTATGCCAGAACTGCTGCTTCTACCAACAGCTGCTTGAGAGGCAACAGGGTTGTATGAATAGATCCAAACCAGAACAAACCTCACAACTTAACATCTTTTATGAAAAGAAGCAGTGAGTACGTTAATTTGAAAATGCAGTCTTAGCATTGTCAGGTTTGAAACCAAAATAAATGCAGGAATTACTTAAGGCTTAACTAAAGCCTAACTTTGGAAAGCAAAATGTCTGATCCAGTGGCCACCCCAAAGCTGCTCTTGTGCCATCAGTTCTAGACAGCAGGAGCTGAGTTCCAGCTCAGTTTCAGAACACTTTGGCCTCTGGAGCAGACAGAAAGCAAGATGCCAGCGTGGATGTTTTTATCCTGTCTTAAGGCAGAGTAAAAGCATTTGTCCAAGTCAGCTTTGGTGTGCTTTGAGCTGACCCACCTCAGTGGACACTGACAGGGCAGGAGGAGTGACCACATGCCATGGTTAATGCCTCTAAGCTCTAACAGTGGTGACCTAGAAGATGGGCTACAATCACAGGGAGATCTCTGCTCAGCTAAATTTTCAAGAAAATAGAAATACAGACATTAGCACACCAGAGGGATGTTACATGTGCCTCAACTCTTCCATTGAAACATGTATTTGAAGTTCAAGGAGTTCTCAAGGGTACAGTACCTTTACCTACCTTTACTGTATGCAGTAGTTTTATTGCCTCACGTCTCTCCCTTGTTTCCCAAGCATCTGCAGCAGCCACAGTGGTGTGGCTGAGGACAGGCCAACAGGTTTTCAGTCATGCAGCAATGTCTGATGTCTGGGAACGAGGTGGGGGAACTTCCGCACTGCACCATTCTTCAGTCCTCAGGAGCCTGTGTGTGAGTGCTGGGCTCGGGCTGTGACATCCTCCTGAGCAGGGGCAGGCTCCTGCTCTACTGCCTGTTGTCTTTGGATACGTTGTGTGCCAGCCAGTTCACTTTGGTTTTCCAGCTCTCCCGCAGGGCTTCATTAAACTTCAGTCTGAAGTGCTTCAGTGCCTCCTCATCGGTTTTCCCAAGGGCCAGGGAGTCCTGGAGGCAAGAGGCACAAATCAGTGCACAAGTGAACAAGTCACTGCTCAACCAGTAAGCTGTTTATTCATAAAAAATTACTCCATTGAAAGGAGGAATGGAATAGCCATCAATTGTTTTTAATTGTTCCTGTGGCTGCAGGAGGTTTTTTCTCTGATAAACACTTGCACCCTCTGCTTCCATTGGTGCAGAGAAAGAGCAGATTCTGTATTGCTCTTGTACAAAGTGTTCTGCAGCTGCCAGGAATTGGTGGTCATGATGCAGGAGGCAAACCAGGAAACGAGAGCCAAGGGCTCTCTGCCTTCTTCCCTGCAAGCTGGCACCTGCTCACTTCATGATGAAGAACTGAGCACCAGGACCTGGCATTTCTGATGTCCTGCACATCCCCTCACTGTTCCTGGAGCTCATCTGCTTCTAAGACTCTGGCCTTGCACACTGAACTCCTCCTCACCCAGCCACAAAAGCAGGTATTCACTTTTAACCCCTTACCTTTAGGTACTGGATGTCTTTGGAGCAGCTGAGCTCTGGCAGCCCAGCAGCTTTCATCAGTGCAAAGAGGTGCAGGAAGAGGAGCCCGTGGCGCCGTAGGATCATGTAGGCCCTTTCACAGTAACCCCTGAACCTGTGCAGGAGCAAAGAGCAGCCAAAGGAGTGAAGACTGCAAATCTGACCATTTTGTAAAGCAAAGCTACATCGTCTGAACCCTGCTCTCTCCACTTAATAATGTATTTACTTTCATGTAGGCTGCATAGTGGTGGAAATAAATACTGAAACTTTAGAGCTTCAAAAGCTGACATCGAGTTTAACTCCCAGCACTTACCTTTCAAACTTCTCGTTGTTGTTAGTTTTTCCTTGCTGGATGACATGCACAAAGTCATAGGTTAAGATGAAAGGGACTCGTTCTCTATTAATACCAAATTTAGTCTTGAAGTTCCCCAAAAAGTGACCAAAATCAATATGGAACAGCTGCAAATAAAAAAAAAAATAAAAAATTTCAGAATATTCAGAAAAACCTGTTTTAGCTGATTAGTGTTGAGTTCTCTTCAGTTACTGTGTTCAGCAGGTCCTGACCACGGGGCTTTGGGAGAGAGAAGGACAATATTCCCATCTCAGGTTACCTGTCCCGTCTCCCGGACCATGATGTTGTCGCTGTGCCGATCTCCAATGCCCAGCACGTAGGTGGCCACGCAGTACCCAGCACAGGACAGGGTGAACTCCTCGATGGCTTGGTCCAAGGCATCTCTAGAGAGGGGAAGAAAGAGTGAAAGATAATTTTCCTTTGGACTCCAGTAGTGCCCCAAAGGGAGAGCTGTTTTCAGCTGCAGGAGAAGGGAGGGAAGCTCGTTTGGATCGCTGCAGTGCTCTCTGGAGGCAGGACTAGCCCCCCTGCTTTACAAAAACGGGCTGCAAGGACTGCCTGTAACCGAAGGGGTCTCAGGTTGTGTCCACAATGGAAATGAGATCCACACAAGGTGGGCCAGGCAGGGGAGCAGCCACAGGCTGGAGCTGTGCATGGCTGAAGGAAGAGGAGCAGGGCAGGAAGCAGGGAGGGGAAGGTGAGTCCCTCACCCCGGGTTCTTGGACTTGAGCCAGTTGAGCAGTGCATCCTTGTTGAAGGCAGCTGTGGCCACCATGTTGCTCTTGTTGAGCTGGATGTTGGCAATGGTGTCCGAGTGCATGACCACCTCAATCAGCCCTGTCTTGTCTCCTGTGGAGAGGCAGCCATAAGGGGTCATCCTGCAGAGATGAAAGAAACCCTTCCACTGAAATCCTGCCCGCAGGTTTCAACCTTTCCCTTGCCTGTCCTGTCTCCTCCCTTTCTACTCTGCAGTTCTATTCCCCAGCCCCACAGGACCTGCCCAGCTGCTCCCAGAAGCCCAGACAGACCTGGGGGCAAAACGAGCTTGCAGAGAAAACAGCCTTGCCTCCCCTGATGTGTCAGTGCAGGAGGACAGCTCTGTGCACGCTGCTCACCTCAGGTCCAGGCCCTCCTGCTTCCACAGGATGTCCATCAGCTGGATCATCTGCAGAGTCAGCATGTCCTGGCGCAGATCTGGGCAGCATTACAGAGAAAAATATCACTTTACTGCTCAAAGGTATCCTATTACCACTGCACTAAAATCTTAATGAAACAGGGAAGCAGCTGAAATACAGAGGAGAGTTAATATATATTTTCAGATTACTACCCAAAAACATTAAAGGTCCTCATTTACACAACATCTTAATGGTCCAGATTTAGGCCCACTCACCCCAGTAAATACTTAAGACTAAAAGATACGTTTTCACGGGCATAATAAAGACTTACCATCTCCATTTTTAAAAATTATACCCACTCCACCTCCACCTGTCTCTTCATTATTAAACACAATCCACAAAGGTTTCATTTTGGAGTCCATGAAGGTGCACTGATCCACACTAGAGGAAATAAAAATACTACCATCAGTTTCCATCTATTAAAATACCAGCCAGTCCTACAGCAACTCCACCTCTGATGGACTTGGGATTTCCATGAGGAAAGAACCTTGGGATAACCCAAAGCCTGGCTCCACTGTGAAACAAAGCACAAAATTCACACAAATTCAGAGGTGCAGATCTCTCCCTTACCAAACTTCAGCGAGGATAATGTTGGGGTTCAGGGGGGACTGGAGGTGGGAAAGGGCTTCCCTGTAGGTTTCCTGCTTCATGCACATGTGCATCATCTCCTTGGTTTGAGGCTTGGTGGCCTTCTGAGAACTCACTTTCACAAAGTCATTCAGAGCTTTCATCTTGTTCAGTGCTTCTCCCTGAAGAAAGGGAGAAATGAAATGGGGTTAACAAATAGGAAATTCCTGAAGAAAGTTTAAAAAACATTAAGATGATCTGTGAAATGTAAACCTTGGCTCCATCTCTTACTTCCTCTTCAATTTGTAGCAATTTCACACATTGCAGCAAAACAAATTTAGTAGTATCTGCTTGAGGAAGATCCCTAATTAATTGTGGATAATTTGTGCTGGACACAAATGCCTTGCCAGGTAATGACTGCAGCAGGAATAAAACACATTAGCAGGCACCAAAGAAAGGAGTGATGTGCACTGGCTGGAAAGGATGAGCTCTAGAGACCAGCCTGCCCTTCAGTGCTTTTGGAGAGCTCTGGTTGTGCAAAAGTGCTGCTCAGTCTTGGAAAGCAGCAGCACTGGCTTGTGGGCCCATCCTGGATAGAACTTTGTCTAGAGATGAGTCCCTCACTTCTCAATTTGCTACAGTGACCCTTGACAGGTAAGAGAGGTTTCAGAGTGGGAAAATGCCAGCAGCACCTGCACACAGCAACTGAAAGGGATTGCAGTGCTCTGAATGAGCCAGCTGAGATCAGCTCCTGCTGAGCAGCTCACCCAGCTGATCCAACAACAGCAGTGCTCAGAACATTTCAGACCTTCCTAGACACCGACTGCAGCCAGGGGTGAGCAAAGCCACGTGCTGGGGATCTCCAGGACACACCCAAACCAACAGCCCTTAGGAGGCTTTTCTTGTGTTACTGGTAATGTTCATTTGGGAAAGCCAGCAGCTGGGAACCTGCCCCAAGCGAGAGGGAAGGGAACCTTATGGCCCAAAGCAATCTGTACCTGCTTCATCAGCACCTTCATGTGGTGGGTGCTGCCCCGGCAGTACGCTTCCAGGATCAGGCCAAACCTCAGGGAAACGGCGGCAACGTGCATCTCTGACCTGGGCAGGGAGGCAGGGCAGGAGGGAGTTAGAGCAGAGCTGGCTCACTGCACTGCTCCTCCTCCCACTCACAGCAACGGGGGAACAGCACCACAAGACCTGCCTGCTGCTTATGTAATGGGGAAGGAGAAAAAATGCCCCCAACCCCAGATGGTGATGGAGGAAAACCATTGTTTGAGGTGATGAAACATCTTTCTGGGTGACTGAATCGCCAGCCCCTCCTCTGAGAACATCACTTGGGGAGCAAGAATAGTTCAGAGCTTATGGCCCAGAGCTGGCAGGTGGCCATGGAAGCCCAAAGCAAATTCCAGCTCAGAGGCATATATGTATATAGTCATAAATACATATAAATTCTGAAAACAGAACCTAACCCAAACACCAGCACTACAATGACAAAAGACAAAAATAAATAACAAAAATAAATATTTTGTCCTCCTGGAATAATTCTTACTGAATCACCCAAGGAAAAAAGTAGCAGTTCCCACTTCCCAGAGCAATGAAGGACTCAGTAAATGCTGGTTTCACTTGATTACTGAGAAAAAGCCCAAAACATTTGCTCTTCACCTCAGATGCCAGAAGAGGAAGTGGCCGATCTTGCGGTTGGATAATGCCCTTTCCAGCAGAAACTTGGTTAATTCACAGTCTAGGTAGGATTCATATTTGAGCACCTGGACAAGCTGCAGCAGGTATTGGAACACATCATCATCCCTGTGGACAGAAACATGAAACACAGCCTTGTCTTCACTGCCACAAGTGTTGTTGTAAAAGCCTGAGGACAAGGCTGTCACTCCTGTTCACAGCCCCTCAGCAGCCCTGAGCAGAAATAGAAAGGGCTCTGCCTCTCCCCTGGGGCCACCACTTACGTCAGCTTCTTCAGGGAGTTGATAGCAAAGGAACCAACATAACGGTCAGGAAAGCTGAAATCCAGCAGCTCCAAGGCATTCAGAACAGGCAACTCTGGCCAGGTCTGAAGCAGGGAAATCATCTGTAATGACCAAAAAGAAAATAGCAACAAAAAGGAACAAGGCTTTTATGACAATGGATATAAATCTGAAATTCTACTGATGAAAGAGCAGCTCTTTGGCGGGGGTATGGTGTGTCACTGTTTATAGATGCCTCACAGCAAGTTTGGAGATACCAGGCCAAAAACTGAGCCCTTGAGGTGGCTTGTGCTGATCTCTTACTAACATTTAAGAATATTCAATCCAGAACTCTTTACTCACAAGAATTAAACAGGTATTTTTTTTTTTCTCTAGTTTCTTGAAGGGATAAACAAGACCTTGCTGGCCAGTAATGAATCTGGGACAGCCCAGAAGAGCCAGACCTCAGCTGGTTCCAGCTGGGAACTTCCCTGAGGGAACTGAAACATCCCTGCTCAGCTGGACTCCCAAACACAGCACGGGAATGTAGACACTGAAAGATGGGGCAGAAAAGGTGCCCTGGCTGCCAGCCCCAACATCCTCACCTGGGCAACATCCTCGTGCTTGTTCCATTTGGTGATGATGAGCAGCTTGGCCAGAGCCTGTGGGTACTGGTCACGGATGTCATACCTCATCTTCCACACCAGGTCCTTCTCGTGCTCGTACAGCTCCGTGTGGCTCCTCCGCTCCAGGATCTCCCTCAGCTGCAGCTTCTGCTCAAGCACAGCAAAGAGCACACACAGGGCTCAGGCTCAGCCCACAGGGCTTGCTCAGCTCAGAGAGACCCTGCAGGACCAGGGCACGACCCAGTTTGCTGAACAGTGCTGGGAGGGGGGGAAAGGTGGAAACAACCAGCCCATGAAACCAGGCTTGCAGGCAGCTGAAAACTGATGCCAGAGGACTCACCTCCTCAGAATCTTCTGGTGCAGCTCGGGGTTGCTCTCCATTCCTTCCCAACTCTAGCAGCTGGGACACAAATAAAGAGGGTGAGAAAGGCTCCTCAGTTGCTCTGTAACTGTAGTCACCATCACTTCAGGCATTTATGCTGCCCTGGAGATTTGCCGCCTCTGCCCGGGCTCCCCTTTCTCCCTGCACAGCCTATTCCAGCCTCTGAGCCAGAGCCTGCCTCACAGGGAGCACACACCTGGCTCTGGCAGAGCAGATTTCCTTCCTCCCCTCTCACAGGCATATTTCTTCTTCCACTTGTCTGGCCAGTAACAGATGGAAAATCACCTCACACACGGTGATTTTGTTACCACCCTGCTGAAAGGGAGGGAGCTGCCTACTTTCATTTCCCCTTAATTCCTCTTCCTTCCTACAGAGCCTAATGCAGTTTGAAGGCAGCTCAGTTAAACCCATTTTTTAAACAAATGCTCATCTATGAGAGCAGCTTTACCTCAGTAATTCATAGCTTGGAAAAGCATTCACTCAAAGGTCCATTAGTTAAGAGGAAAAAGTGAAATTTTCAGTTAACAATCTCTATTCATCAAGTTTGCTTGCACCCAGTCCCTGTCAATGGCTGCCCCAGAGGCTCCCCACTGGAAGGGACAGTGAGGGAGCTCCTGTGCCTCCCAGAAAAGTGTCCCTGTGTCCCACCTGCTCAAAGGATGGGTAGTACACAGGATGTGCTGCCACGCTGGGGAAGCAGATGACCAAGGCTGCTGCACTCTCTGTGTTGGGGTTGCACTGCACTGTGCCCATGGGGTTCAGAAGTTCCCCTTTCTCATCTGAAAAACAAAGTACATAAAACCCATGAGCCCAAATCTTGTGAAGCTTTGGTGCAGAAAGCAAAGCAGAGACTGGTCACTGCCTGACCACGAGCACTTCACCCTCCTGAACTCTCCCCAGTGCGGGGCAGGTGACACCCTCAGGTGAGCAGCCACCTCTCAGGTCACACCTGCAAAGCCAAGCTCAACAAAGCCTTGCCTTGGCAGGCTCCAGCTGCCATCACAGCACTGAGCAGCGGCCACTCCGCTTCCCAGGGAGACTGAGGATGCCAAACAGCAGCAGCTCCCTCTCCTGCCATACCTGGGAAGGAGGACCACATGTGCAGGCAGCACTCCCCTGTTTTCAGCTGGTCCTTGTAGTCGAAGAGCATCACATTGACCCAGGCGATGGGACAGTCCTGTGGGGAGACAGCGCTCGTGGGGGGCTGCCCCTGCCCAGGGCAGCAGGGCACGAGAAGGCCTGAGAGATTCCCCATGCAAAGGGACATCCTGTCTGCTCACCTGCCAAGTTCTCTCAAATTAACAGTACAAGATGGCACTGGGCACTTGCCAAAACCTGGGGTCTTCTTCTGTGTGGTGCTGACTGGCACCAAACACTCCCCACAAATGCCTCTAAAACTTCACCACCTGATATTTGGCATAGCTGAAGAATCTCTCATTTTCCAATAAGGCCTTGCTACTCTACACTAAATATTTGAGGGAACTATTGCATATTTTATATATTTCACAATTTGAGGGGGAGGAAGAAGAACTTTAATTTTTAAACAGGGAACACAGAGTAGGTATGATTTTGGAGAACAAGACAAAGGACGCTAGAAATAGCTCATAATAGGAAAAAAGGCTTGGCTTCTCTGTACAATAATAAACACTATCTATAGAAATCAAACCTAATGCTGCCAATCCCATGCCATACCCCCAAAATAAACCCCACAAATCCAAACCAGTCGCATTTTGGAGGAGGGACTCCAGCAAGTGAAGTGACTGGGACATGGCCAAGACAAAGAGCCCGTCCCCTGCCCTCACCCAGCTCCCAGCCCCAGAGCAGACACACATTCCACGAGTGAGCTCAGCTTTCCTGCAGCCAGGTTCCCCAAATGGAACACTTTACCTCATGCAGCAGCACTCAGAGCTCAGAGCACACCACGGCTCAAGCACAGAAACCAACTGGAAAAGGGGCTACGTGGCAGAAACTCTGCATCGAGGCACCCACAAACAGAGTCACGTTTGAAGGAACCACACTGAGACATCTGGTTCCACTGGGGCATTCCAGACAATGCACCAGCCTTACCCCCCAGAACACCCAAGCACTTGGGAGAGAAAACAGAGCCCCATTTTCCCTCAAAATGAGTCACTTCCAAGTGGCCTCTCATCCTTGGAGCTGATTTGATTACTCCAAATATCTTCAGTAAAATCACATTTGAGACATCAGCTTCCAGTTGACAAGGAAAAGCCTAATAAAACACTACCGCCAGCAATAACCTTTTCTATCAGAGTAAATGACATCTAACCACAGCTCAGAGCCTGCCAAAACACAAGGCAAGGTTTCTGGTGGATAAGGTCCAGCAAAACAAGGATCCAGCATTCTAAAGACAGACATCTCCTGCATGATTTAGAGAAACACTGAAAGCCAACCCTCTGGGTGACATTAACCCTCTGACTCACCCAGTCAGCCTGCAAACAAGCCTGGTTTTGTGGTAGTAAATAATTTAGTTCCACCTATCTGCTCTGGACAGTCTGCATATAAACAACATGTATGGAATTAACCTCTGAGTAAGGCAAAAAAAAAAACCATCAAAACAAACAAACAAAAAGTCAGGCTACACTCTGCAACCTGCCCTGACCAATCATTTGAATTGATTTCTGGGCACTTCACTCAGAGTTGTAGCTCACCATAGGGAAAAATTCCTTTTTGCAGTGCTCAGTAGTGAATGTTGTGATTTTATACTAAAACCTCATCATAATTCACCCACCTTTCCCAGCACCAGAACACACATGAATAAGATCCACTTAACAACTCAGCTAAACAGACTAGTTGTGTTTTGTCAATCAGAACAGCAACATTTCCTTCTGACTGCTTCAAAACTGAAGATTATTCCAGTGTGACCACAAACATCCAGCCTGTGGATGAATCAGATCTTCTGTCCAACAAAAGCCTCCAGCAGGAGCTGGGGTTCTGCTATTCTTGAACGAAAAAGAAATGCAACAATAGAACTGTTAATCCTGGTCCTGGCCTCAAAATGTTTCCAATGTGAAACCCAGAAATTGGTCCCCACAAGCAGGATTCATGAGCTGGCTGTTGCTCCCAGACATGGCCCCCCCACAGTAACCCTGAGAACCCCACTGATGTCAGCACAACAAAGCACAGTGAACCTCCCAACAGTGAGGAGTGAGCAGTACTGAAATCTTCTGTATCACACTCATCAGTGCCTCATTCCTCTGCACTCTAGCACAGATGGCATGAGTAACCCTCCTCAAGGCACAAGAACAGTCTTTGTGGTCACAGAAACAATAATTTGCAGAGGCACAAATGCATTTGCTGCTCATAAAGAAAACTCTTACATGCAAAGAGCTTGAGGCTTATGTTACAACTCTGGGAAATCAGCAATTCAATTACAGGCTGCAGCTGAAACTACTTTTAGTTACTAAATCATTAATGGGCTAGAAGTTTTGGAATGTGAGAAATGTCACTACCTCTGATTCAGATGCTCAAACCAAGAATTTCCAAAGTGACTTAACACTTTCTGTGGTCAGTTTGCAACACCTGAACAGTAACCTTGAAGAATCTGCACTTTTATTTTACCTCGCCTAATGCTTTGCCATAACCAATGTTCACATTCCTCAGTTTATTCCCCCTCCCTAGCTGGTAATTTGCTCCACTGGGGATTTGCAGGAAAGACCTTGTTAGAAAGAAAATGCAACAGAGATGATGGTTTAACCTCAACTACAAAATAAGGAAGTTGTGGAACAGTGCAACAGGGACACCAACATAAGTAATTCCTCTTTAGGTTCAGTCAGATGCTGAGTCTGTTTCTTAATGGTTTTTCTAGGGAAGAAATTACATATAAACAGCCCTTCTTACAGGCAGACACTTCTCAGCTTCCTGTTGAAGAAGTTATTGGCCATTATTCTGTAAGCTGTTTTATTAACATGAAGTTTTCTGAAAGCAAAGGGCACTTGTTTCAGAACGTGTCCTGTGCTCTGCAGCCCTGGCCAGCCTGGCTCAGGCTGCCTTCACTTACAGCTTTCTTGGACTTCTTCTTGGTGGAACGAGCCTTCTTGGCCTTCTCGATGACGGCATAGAGGGCGAGGCAGAGCCGGGCCATGCGGGGCAGGTCGCAGATGTTGATGTCAAAGTCCAGGCGCTGCTTCCACACCGGCTCCGAGCACACGCTCACCTCCGAGCTGGACACGGTCTTGCACAGCATCTCATTGCCATGGAACAGACCTGCCTGCACCACCAGCTGAGGGCAGCAGAAATAACAGGACACCGTGAACCCACAGGACTTGCCTTGTTTGCTGGAGAATCACCAGAAGAGGAATGGGACAGGGCAGCCCCTCCCCTGGACAGGGTGTCCGACTCCCGTCTCTCTCCCGGTTCATTGAGACATTCAGTTCTGAAGTCTCTCTCTTCACTCACCCATCACCACCTCTCCCATCACTCTCTTCTCAGAGCTGGGTCTCCCCTGCTGCTGTTACAGCTCCCCTGCCCTGCCCAGCACTGTACACGCCATTACCCCAGGGCAGCAGCTCTGCTGTGCTCCAGCTTTTCTAATGCTGGGCTGCTGTCTGGCCACTTCCCATTCCTGTTGTGCTGCGGTCCAGAAAGTGCCCCAAGGCTGAATGAAACCCTGCAGGAGCAGGTGAGATCATACTGCCAACCACCAGAGTCCCCCCACACAAACCAGAGGGATGGGACTGGGAAAGCACACGCACAAACCCCCAGAGTGAGTCAGCACCCACCTTCATTCTCTCATCTGCATTGACCTTGCTGCCTTGCACCAGCTCGATGTAGAAAGGCTGCTCTAAGGACCAGAGAGAGCCATAGTTTGGCTGGAAAGAGAAAAGGGTTCTGATCAGAAACAGATGCAACAAAAGATGCAACAAGTCAGCACCAGAACTCATCTCCCATTCCATGCTTTTGGGTCCCATAGAGAAGAGCAAGAAACCTGGGACAACCAGGGAATACGTGGAGGGGGCTGAAAGGCTGACTGGAAATTCCCATCTTAGACCCCAGCTGGGAACCTGTCCTGAGAAGGGCAGGGAGAACCCACTGCTGCTCCCAGCCAAGACCAGCATGTCCACCAAGAGAGGAGCCCAGGGTGACCCCAGGGGCCACTGTCCCCTTTACCTTTTTCTTGGGGAGCGGGGGGGGCTTGGAGGCCGTCTTTGGGGGGCTGGTGAAGCAGCTGTTCTGCTCGTCCCTCATGGCAATGATGGCAGAGGAGTGCACCATGGTCAGGTGGGGGGTCAGGCCCCGCTGCAGGCAGCTGCGGATGTGCTGAGAGGGGACAGGGTCAGCCAGGGCCTGCCCACAGCCACCAGCCCAGGCAGGAACCCGTGCAGGGACTCAGGGAAGGACACAGCAACAATCCAATTCCAGTTCTCAATTATCTCCTCTTGCTCTATAAACCTGCAACCCGCTGGCCTCATGTTGCCAGAACTGAGAATATGAAGTGCCTTTTACAGCTGGCATTTCATCAATGGACTCAAATGGCTGCATTAAGGGAAAACACTGAGGAGGATTCAGCACTCCCAGCAGCAGTCTGCCCTGCCAGAGGAGCACATGATTCAGTTATTTGCCCAACTTTCAATAGGAGAACCCTCATCCCACCATACAAGCAAGCAGATATTTCCAGAATCACGGGCTCTAAATGTATTTACACAGCACTTGGCACCCAAGGACAGGCTTAGACACTGGCCCCCCAAAAACAAGGATGTGTTAGGTTGCTGGAAGCACCCTTTGCCCTAAGCAGCATCCAGGTCCTGTCACTGATGTGCTGCACTCCTGCAAACACGTCCCAACCCACGCCCCCAGCAAGAGAAGGCCATGTGGAAACAGAGTCATGGATAAAGCAAGACAAGGCTCACCTGGAACTGGTACAGGGGGTAGTTCCCATAGAGATATTCACATTTCCCATTCACCTGCAGGGTGTAGTCCTCTGGCTTCTGCACAGTCTCGTGGCGGAACACAGTAGCCTGTTTCTTAATAGCATAGCTCATTAAGGTGATGGGGAACTCCCAGGGGGAGATCTGGAACGTGAAGCTCTCCTGCAATCCCAACAACACAGCAAACTGTCAGACACCAGCACAGGGCTGAAGTGGCACAGACAGGGAACGACATTCCTGCTGCTGGCAGTGAGGAGAGGGATGGGAAGGTACAGTCACACACACATCAGCCAGTGATAAGCAAGGATGTTTGCCAAACTGGGCAGGAGCAAGTTTCAGCAGTGCAAGCACAAGACTGGAAACCAGGACCTTCAATTTTAAGCAGGATCACCAGTTCATGTAGTTGCCAGCCATTAAAACCTTCCCACAGCCATTCCAGCAGCAGGGCAGAGGCTGGAAGGGTCCCCATGCTCAAACACTGCTCTGGAGGCCCTTTTGCCGTGAGAGTGACCTTGCTCAACATGCAGAACAAGAACCAAGGGCAGGATGCAGGAACAGGGGCCCATGGCAGCACAGACCAGTGCCTGCAAGCAGTGTTTGCTGATCATGAGCTGAGCAGGCTCTTGGGCTTCCAAAGGAAGGTCAAGTATTGGATTCTGTGCTCCTTTCCTGCCCAAACCCAAAGAGGTTTCTAGCCTATGTACATGCAGCAACCTCAGCTTCCAGCTAACCAGTACACCCAGAACAGCTCCCTTCCAACCATCTCCACAGGCAAAGGAATCTGGAGAATGAACACTGAACACATGGAAACACTGTCCAGGCACACATTATTCTGTCTCCACACACACAGAGGTTTCCAAAGGAAAAGCACAAACCATCAAACACTGTGACAGAAAAGTTTGTGCTTTACCCCACCAGACTGGAACTTGACGTTGACAAAAATGTTCTTGGTGGGGATTTGCAGAGAGCCAGTCCCAGGACCCTTGGCCATGGGCTCCAGCTGCAGGGGGAAGTTGTACTCCATCCACGCTGCCCAGCCGAGCTGCTGCCGCTTTGCTGCTTTCTCCTCGCAGAACTGGCACATTTTGCTGCGGAAATCGCTCACCTCTGGGTCCTGCACGGAGTCAAACTCGTGCAAACCTGGGTGGAAGGTAAGCGAGGAAGGCAAAATAAGCACCTGCAGCCAATGGGGGAAATGAACCTTTACCTCAAACGCCTGCAAAAGTCTTCGTGAACGCGTCTTTAACACGTGGCCAAAAGCAGAGTTAGCCAAGCTACCAGCAATCGCTTATTTACGATGTACAGCCGCACTGGCTTGACACCCCAGCACTCTGCCAGCAGGAAGCATCACCTTCCCTGGGTCTGCACAGCCCCTGTTTCCTCTCTGCATCCACTGGAGGTGGGACCTGCTGACGTCCCGGTGCACGCAGGGCTCCAGCACTGTCCCACAGGCGGGCTGGGACAGGAGCACGTTCCCCGCACGCCGCCTGCCGTGACCCGTGCTGCTGAACTGACCTTTCCCAATGAGCAGGCTGATCTGGGAGTTGATGACCTTCTTGACCCTGTCCCCCTCGCGAGCCACGAGGCGCAGGACGGGCAGGAAGGGCTGGATGTCGCAGAGGCGACGCTGCTCATCCTCCAGCTCCTGCTGCTCGGCCGTCTGGTTGATGCAGGTGAACACGTAGGCCTCGGGGTCACTGAGCATGTGGAACAGCGGCTCATACTGTGCATGCTTCCAGAGCACCTGTGGGGAGGGCACAGTGTCACCCTGCTGCTGTCACCCTGCACAGTGTCACCCTGCCCCTGTCACCCTGCACAGCGTCACCCTGCACAGTGTCACCCTGCACAGCGTCACCCTGCCGCTGTCACCCTGCACAGCGTCACCCTGCCGCTGTCACCCACCACCTACCATCACCCTCCAGACTGTCACAGCTGCCCCCAGGGCCTGTCCCTACCCTCACCCTGCTTCTGTCACCCAGCTGTCCCTCAGCTCTCAGCTAAGGCAGGGCACAGCCCAAGCTCCTCACAGCATCCCTGGACCTGCAACCCCCGGCTGCTCCTCAGCCAAGTCTGGTGGCTCCAGCTGCTGCTGAACTGCTGGGTTGGTTTATTTGCAGGTGCCTTTAACTGACTTCCTTTCTTCATGCTTGCCTTTTGTTTCTGACAATGTCAATCCCTCAACCTGAGCATTTAAATAACCCCCACCTGAATATCTCACAGTCAGCACCTGCTGACTCTGGTCCTGTGAGCCATTACTCACACTGGAAACAAAACTGGGTTAAGTAACTTGCCCCCAGTAACATGAAATCTGTGACAGGAGCCAAGAGCTTCTCCAGTCTTGTCAACACTATCTAGTTCCCAAAGATCCTTCTCTCCCTGTGGAGAGACATGACATCATATCCCTTTTTTTACTCTCATCCTAAGTGCCTGCTATTGGAGGCAAAATTCTGGAGCAGATGGGCCTCTGGTTGTAACAAAGACCCCTCACCTAACAGCTGGCACAAGGCTGTTACCTGCTTGATGGTGCCCAGGCTGGCATTGCAGGGCACAGAGAGGTTTAAGTATATGCCTGTGGGCAGCAAAAAGTCCACCTGGATGTTTTGGTGTTCCCCCTTGGACCAGAATTCCGTAGGGCAGTAAATGCCTGGGGGCATCCTGCTCACTGCTTAGCAACCACCTGCAAGAAAAGGGAAAACAACCTGTTGCTGTTAATTATGTATTATTTGCTCAGTTCGGTGCTGGGCTCTGTAGAAAATGAATGTGCAAAAGAACCCAAAGAAAGGAAGGTCAGCACAGCCTTAAAGCTCAGGAAAACATGGACCTTAGTAAAAATTCCACTTCAGTCCTTTAAGCCACATAACTATAGCATTTGCTTCTATTTCAATGCAACCCTCTCTTAATCCCTTCTAGGCCAGGATTAACATCTACATCTGCATTTACAAAGAAATAAGAGAATTATGTTCTCTGGAGAACAAAGACACTTGTCCCAATAGCTCATCTGTGACCAGGCAGCCAAGAGAAACAGTAAGTTCCTACCCCTGGCTGTGTAAGGCAATCCTCAGGCCACATGCTCCAAGCTCCACTTTGTTTTTCCAGAGCTCAGTTCCAGTCTGCAAGAGGGAGAAAGAGTTGTCGCTGTTTCCAAGTATGCATGCACTTTTATACACACAAACAAATAATACTCTGCTGTACGTCCCTCCTCTACAAGTATAGAAAAATGAAGGGTGAGGCAATCAGAATAAGTTTGTTAATTCCATCTGCAGCCTGTTCCTTGGCAGGATGCTACAATTTATTTTCAGTATATCCAAGGAATGCAAAGAAGAGAACAAGAATCTGAATGCTATCAGGTACAAACTGCTGTTTTCAAACACAGGATGAAACAAAAGGCATTCACCAGGAGCCTGTCAGATACTTCCTTTCTCAAAGACATGTAACCAAGTCTCCATCCATTTGTCCACAAGTAAAATACAGCAATAAAATCTCCAGTTTCCTGCACAGATGACAAGTGGCAGAGGGTGGTGTCCCCACGTGCTGGGAGACCCTGTTGGCATTGGCTCCCAGCAAGAGACAGGGAAGTGGCTCTAACTAATCCTCTCCAACCACCCCAGCAGAGAAACCAGCTACCTCAATTCCCTCTCACCAGAGTTTTTCTGTCCGGTCAGCAGAGAAACATGCCAGTGGTACAGCCTGGAAGGTGCTCCACAGCCACAGCTCCAAACTCAGCCCTGCTCAGCCCTCAGCAAGTCTGTGTCCCTTCTCCTCAGCCCATAAAACCAGCACAAAATTTCCCCATTCACAACTTAAAATACAGCTTTGCAGCTGTGGGTGTAGAGACTTTGAAAGAAGCTGAGCAAAGTGCTGCTGATTCCCAAACCACAAAGTTCTGCTGGCAGCTCCTCAGGAGCCAGCCCTGGGCTTCAGCACAAGGAGCCCAGCATCTTATCTGCCAGATCCTGGGAACACACCACTTCCCTGTCAGCAGTGAGGTCAGGATTCCCAGAAACATGAGCTATGTTTTATCTGTCCTGCTTCCTCAGCACAGAGGCTGCATCACCCAGCAACCGGATAGAGAGACCACAAACCAGCCCTGGGCCTTACAGGGAGGGGAGCAAATGGGGAGGAGGCAAGGTTTACAAGTTCAAATATAGCAAAACAAGCTGGCCTTGTTTTCTGCTCATCAACAATAAAAACAGCAGGTTTCTGGTGTATCTGCTACCTCAGCCTAAATCAGCAAACTACCACAACTCTACTGACCAGCAGAGACAGAGACACAGCAGTGGCTGAGCTGCTTCCTTCTGCTGAGGATTTCTGTCTGGCACCACATCCCAGAGAATATGAAGTGCCAAGTCTAAGCCATGAGCACTACAGTGTCAGCTCCAGCTCAACACCTTTCTTTCCAAACTCCCTGATTTAGAGGATGCAGGATTTTTTCAACAGAACATGGCATGAATATACCAAAGGAAGAATAAGACTGGAATTTCATCATCTCTAATACATCATTTACTAAGTCTCTCCCCTTCCCACTGCTAAATTCAGGATGTTCTACTTGTTGGAGCTCAGATCTGATGCAGAGTGACAGTTCTTACACGAGGCCAGCTCTGTGTAGATGGGTACTCCTGCACCACCCGACTTCCCTCTTCCCCTCTGCCTTGGGAAACTGAACACAGTTCTCCAGGTTTTTTCCCACCTTCGATGGAAACGCTCTGGTTGTATGGAAACTACAAGGATCAAGCTTTAAACAACCACTGGGACTAAAGAATCCTTTGGCTTGAGCCCTTCCCTTAATGAAATAAAGATTTCTTTAAGCCTTTAAATTTTTCAATGCCCACCTTACCTATACACACTCCCACAAAACAGGCTCACAGGGAAAAGCAATGGAAGCAGAACTACACTAATGTGATCTGAACTGGGGATAACCTTGTTTGTGTGCAGGGCTGATGATGAAAGGGCTTGTCAGCAAGAGAAGAGATAGGAAAGCAGAATGTACACGTGGTGATAAAAACAGGCTGCAGTTTTTGGGGCTCCCAGCTCCAGAAGAGCATCAGAGCACCATCATTCAAGCTCAGCAGAACATTAGATCCAATCAGAAGCAATAGCCAGAGGCAGGGAAAGAGGAGCTCAGGCAAAACAACTTAAGAGAAAAAGAAATGTAAAGCCATTCCTCATTCTGGGAGTAAAACAGTATCACCAGAGAGTGGGAAAAGTATCTGATGGGAGACTCAAGAACCCTTCTCTGGTGGAAACCTCCAATATGCTTTTAGGCAAGTTCACAGTATTGCCTGAGGAACTACCTAGTAGGAAACCATATATTTTCAGTGGTTAAAGCAAAAGCTTGAAAACCAAACTCTGCAAAGCTCCGTTCCCAAACCTGACAATTGTTTGCTGCACATCAAACAACAAACTCCTCTGTGCTTCAGCCTTCTCACATGCTCAAGTACAGCCTGTAACTCATGAGGGATGTTGTAACTCTTAAATGCTGGCAAACTGCTGTGAGATCCTTGTACCCTTGCTATTACTGCTAACACAGGCAGAGCCTGGGAGTTGGAGGAAGTTGTGATAAACGAAAGCTTCCAGCTGAAGAAGTTGCTGAAATTAGGCTTTCTCAACTGCTCCCAGTGGCTCCACCGTACCAGAAACCCGAGTCCATCTTGTTGATGATAACCAAAAACAAGTTATGCATTTCTAATGACTTCTGTCATGACATTCAGGTTGCCATCTCAGGCACATACAGCAGCAAGATGTGTTCGAGACTCTCTTCTGAGAGCTCTTAAAGGACTCCCTCATGCCCTGCCAAAAACATGATCCAAAGCTAACCCACAGCAGAAGCACACATAGCTGTCAACAGCTGAGCCAGAAGCACAAGTCCTACACCAGGGAAGGCCTGGATGACCAGGTGTTGCCACTCCCCAAGCCCGGGAGTGACAACTGTGGTGACAACGCGCCATGTGCCAAACCACCGTAAAGGCCAGGCAGACACCAGCAGCACCAGAGTGGGGGGTGGGCCAGCAGGTGGCTACTGGCCAAAACAGCCAGTCCCCATCCATCCATCCATCCATCCATCCATCCATCCATCCATCCATCCATCCGCTGTCACCAGCACGGAGGACACAGCACCAAGGGCGGCCCCAGAGCAGCTCCAAGCTCGCACGCCGCGGTCAGCAGCTCTGCAAAGCCCCGAGGCTCCGCAAAGCCCCGCTCTCCATAGAGAGAAGCGCTTTTCCCGAGGAGCAGCGCTGCTCGCTGAAGGCGCCCGAGCAGAGCCGGCATTTGCCGCAGACGGCCCCGGACGAGCCCCGCAGCGGCGGCCGCGCACCCCGGAGCCCCCGGCCCCGCTCCCCGGCCCGGCCCCGTCCCGGCGCTCACCTGCGCTGGCAGCCGGGGGGTCCCGGGGGCTGCGGGGCTCCCGCGCTCCCGGCCCCGCTCCGGCCCCGCCCGCAAAGGGGAGGCGGCTACGGGCGGCGAGGGGGCGGCACCCCGCCCGCCGTGCCCGCCCCGCCCCGGCACCGCCACCGGTACCGCTGTGTCCGCCCCGCCCCAGGCCCGGTACCGGCACCGCCGTGTCCGCCCCGCCCCGGGCCCGGCACCCGTACCGCCGTATCCAACTCGCCCCTCCCCGCCCCGCCCCGGCACCGGTACCGCCGTGTCCGCCCCGCCCCGGGCCCGGTACCGGCACCGCCGTGTCCAAGCCGCCCCGCCCCGGGCCCGGTACCGGCACCGCCGTGTCCAAGCCGCCCCGCCCCGGGCCCGGCCCCGCTCGCAGCGGGAGATGCCGGCACGGAACGCGGCAGCAGTCGCCGCCGGCTGCCGGGCGCACCGAGTGTCCGGAACATGACGTGTGCCACCCTCTGCCGCACTGGCGGCGGCCCTGACTCCCAACAACAGCACAGCACCGAGGGCAGGTCCTGCATCCACACCTGCGTCAAACTGCCCACACAGGAGATGTGAAATGGTTTGGGATTCACTCCTTTCCTGGAAAGCGCTCCTTTGACAACCTCAGTCATACAACTGTTCTTTCTTCATCTGAAAAGCTGTGGAAACCCTAGAAATTGGCTGGCGTTGAGTCTGGGAGAAAAAGAGGGAGAAGGGCCTTTAAAGGGAAAAGACATGGACTGTAGGAGAAAAGGAGAGCGCCACAAAGAGAAGGGGAGAGACCCTGGTGGTACTTGCAGAGCGCTTTCAGTGGGTAACAGTACAATAGGGATGGGGAATACCCCAAATCCCGGAGTCAGGTGGATTTGAGGGATGAAAAGAGCCCCCTCCAAGGCAGGCAGGGTGCCCATGGGTCTGAAGCAGGAGCAGGGTAGGTATTACCGTGCCTGGTGTTCCACTTCCACCTGCTCATCATGGGAACAGGACCAAGCACCGCTTTAAATGCTGGTACCAAGGACACACAGGGTTATCCACTTGGGTTTTTTTCTCTCCTCAACCTGTTGTACAGGTCTGTGCACTGCAGGGGAAGCCCACCTAGGCACTAAAACACTGTGCAGGGTCTCATCCCAGCAGCTCCCCAAGGCTCAGCCACTCCTCACACCCCTCGGGGCTGCCATCACCCTTTGCTCAGTGCAGCTGTCCCAACTGTCAGGGGAAATTAGTGGTTCCAAAGCAGCAGCAGATGGAGACAAGAAATGTTTCCAGTGTTCAAAGACAGTCATTCCTCTCTGTCTCATTAAATTTTCAGCAGCAATTAGATACTCAAAGACCATGTATGTGCTCATTTGAAAGTCTCTCTCTTTTCACACATCTCCTCTGAAATGCCCTCTGTACTTTGGGTCACAAATGAGAAAATATTGGGAACGTCGATTTGTGATTTTAATTATTTCACTGCCACACACAGAAACAACCAACCCTGGCACAGGGCATTTGTGCTACTGTGTCACCTCAACTGGTCCTGCAGTTTCATGACTCCGAGAATCACCATTTTTCCTAAAGCTTTTGCTACCAGAGACATGTGATTAAGGTATAAATTCTTCCCCCCCCCAGCTCTATGTTATCATCCAAGAAAAGCTCATTATTCTTGCAATCTGACTCATTTTTTTTCCCTGAACATTACTAGCTGGCAAACACAGATATCTTGCCAACAGTACAAGATGTGACTGTTGAAACACTCATTGTTCAACTGCATTTGAATCCACTATCATGTCTCCATGTGACCTTTTAACACTCAGAAATTGTCTATTTTAAATCATTGGTGCTGACATGTGTTGAAGATATTCTTAACAGACTGTTTACAGGAATTCTGGTTTCTGTTCTCTTTTTTTTTGGTTTTTTTTTTCCCCTTTTCAACAGCTTTTCTATTCATCATCTCCAAGTTTCACACGTACAGCTGTACTGAACACCAACAAGGCATTTGCCCACATGGCCTGTGAGAAATTGGACATCAGAAACTGTAGGGAAGGGAAAAAGGAACTCGGTCAGAAAAAATACTGCAACCTGCTAAGTTTAAGATCTGAGACCTCCAGGAAGAACAGAAGGGAGAGTTGTTTTTCTTCTGTGTTATTGAGAACCAAACAGGGCTAATGCATTTGAAGAGAACACTGCTAAGAAGGACAAGTAGCATTATTTCAAATGCACCCGACATGAGGGACCTGCAAGGCATGCCAGTTCACAGTGACCACCTTCACCCCATGCCAGTCTGGTTTACATTTCCCCAGATTGCCCAGAAAACGGAAAGGTTAATTTTGTGTTCTCAGCTCTCAAGCTCCCCTGCTGCCTGTGGGCATGTGCTCTGTGTCACTTCATCTGGTGAATGTGCAGAATCACACAGTTCCACGCTGCTGCTGAGTCAAGGCGTGCCTTGTCCTGCTTGGGGAACGATGCAGACCCCAGCCTAACATTCACTGCTGTCCCACCACCAGGAAATTCAGGCAATGCTTGCAGATGAGACACGGTCAGCTTTTAACAGCAGGAGGGAGGATGACAGCGAGCAACGTCACCACAACACCTTTATTTACAGCATCACCCAGCAAGAACGCTTCCACCCAGACAGACAAACACCCTGACTGCCCTCCCGGGTCCCAAGCCACAGAGAGGCTGGTGAATAAACAACACTTCTGAAGTGTATTCCCCGCTTCCAGACGGGGCCAGGAGAGTCTCCCTCGTCCTTCGCCTTCATGGGACAAACCAAGCAACCACCCCAAGCCGCTGCATCTCACTGCACCGTGAGGCAAACAGGAAGCCTGAGCAGCCTGAGGAGAGCTGAAGCTCTGTGCTCCATGTGGTTAGTGCTGTGCAGGGTAAAGGCTGCTCAGGGGAACCGCGCCGGCTGCAGCCCCGCTGCAAACACGGCTGGGAACTCGCCTGCATTTCAAACTCAAAACGGGGTTTTCTTCGCTTTTTTTTTCAAGCAAGATCTGAAATAGGATCACAGCCACCCAAAGTGTGCAGCACTGATCCGTGCTGGCTGCTGGGGGTGAGCAGTGGGGCTCACCTGCCTGAGCACAGCCACGGGCCACAGCCTTTGCTTGAGAAAATCCTCTGGCCAAACCAAACTGCTTCAACATTTGAAAGCCACTGTTTCCACGTTACACAAAAGCTCTCTGTGCTATAGAACAATACTATACTGCTACAGGCTCTGGACATTTATTTAAACACACATACATACATATACATGTATATATATATATGTATGTGTATATATATATACATACATTTTATATATATATATATATAGGGCACCCAGGTCCTCTTGCAAGCAAGCAACATGCATGTCAAGGGACATTAGGAGAATTAAGATGAACTACACCGAGTTTTGTAACTGCACCTGACAGAGCACAGGAACAGGGTCAAGGGCCTCCCCGAGCCCCCAGCTCCGCTCCCTGGACTGACCACTCCATAAATCCCTAACTTGTCACATCCTGACACACAGACATCCTTCACCCACCCCAAACAGGTGCTGTTCCCTCTCTTCTCCCAGCCTTCTCAGGAGGACATTGCCCTGAAGACAAACGTGGCATTTACTTCACAGCTCAGTCTTTGGGACAGCTGAGGACACCGTGGTTATAACATGAGCTGTTTTTCTTTCAGGAACAAGGCCACAGTTTAGTTGTTGATGTTGTCACAAGAGAGATTTCAGAGACTAAAACCACAACAAAGCTTCAGCACGTTTTTCTCTTTGATGACCATGCATTCAAACAAAAATGCCATTAAGCAAAATCTTCCATGAGCTGTAAGAAGCTGATGGTGAAGTATCAGGGGGTGGGATTCAAGGACCTGAGCAGTCTGTTTGTTCAAAAAGCTTCTGAAATGGTGCCAATCTTGTGACCCAAAATGACAGAAAGAGGGGAAAACGATGACAAAGCTACTCAGCTCTCTTGCTGAAGGCCAAAATGGCCTAATTTGGTGTCCTTGTCCAGATAAAAATACTGTTTTATTTGTGTGACTATGTATTTAAATGAAGGATACTGCAGGCTTGAGAACAATGCGTTCCTCTCTCCTTCGCCCATAAACGTTTGCAGAGCAAAAATGTAACAAGACATGACCTGAGTCAGCTGCAGCGGCAGCTGAGATTCCCACCTTGGCCATCAGCAGCACCAAAGGACTTCAACAGGAGAACAATCCCTGCAGGCAGCTCTGCTTCAGAGTGATCAAAATGAAGCAGAAGGGTTTGTTTGGTACCTCCTTGTTGCTTCTCTGTCAGAATCTCTGAGTTGCGATCTCTGCCCATGCCAAAGTTTAGTGTTGAGGAAAAAGGCAAGTTCTGTGGATTGTGGGTGCTGCAGCAGCACATCATCCCGAGAACAGAGGGGAAGGTAGCAAATGTGAGACAGGAGGAGATGCTGCTGGCCCAGTCCTGCAAGGAGCATGAGGCTACAGCTCTGTCAGGGATACCAGGAGTTACTGACTGCAAAAATAGAAGACAAAATTGTCTGGGGGAAAAAGCCCCATAAACAAAAATGCCCAGCAAAATTTCACAGGCTGCTGTGAAAACCCAAAGCTTTCAAGGACAGGCAAGAGGCTCCTGTTCCGCTCCTCACACTGGTGTCAATGTCACAGCTTTTACTGCATCACGTTTCCCTGCTCGCAGAACACTGGGAATGTTCCTTCGTATCCCACAGGGCGTTTTGGGAAGCTTTGCTGTTTGCACAACTCATCTGAGCTCTTCAGCCGGTGGTGCTGCACGAGTTCAGAGCATCAGTGTCGGGGCACACCACGTTTTTATCACTTCAGAGCATGACTGCAATACAAACACAGCATTTCCCCCCTCTCAGGGAATGCCACTCAAAAGCTCACTTCTGTTGAAGATGGGTTTTTGATACAAAACTAAAAATTGTCAAACACAGATGGCCAGAAGCTCCATTCCTTTTCTGACTATCCATTCTTGAGGAGGGACAAACAACTTTCCTTTCTCTTTTTGTTTTCTTTTTTTGCAGTACAAGTGAGTGATCTTTAAAACCACAAATTTCCATTATGAATTGTAACTGCCTATTTAACTAAA